TCCCAGAACAACAACAACAGAGGCCTTGTTAAGCCACATTCAGAAGTTAGAGATGTCCTGAAACTGCTTTATAGCAGCCTTATCTCCAGGAATTAGCTGTCTACAGTTATGGTACAACTGACCAATTATCAAAGGGTAGGAGAAGATATGCAGAAGAAAGGATGGCCAGGATACAGCCAGGAACTGGAGTTGAACTAGTGCAAACAGGACAGGTGTTTGACAGAAGGGGCTGCCCCAAGGAGAATGTATCCATCTAAGCAGTTACTCTGTCATGAAAAGTCCTGACTCCCAACAGAAAGCCAAACTAGGATCCTGAACCAGGCAGAGACAGCCTAGACTCACTCTTCTAGACCATAAAAAACTCTGAACCTTTTTCTTCTTCCTTGCTCACATTTTTCCAGTACACGTTTAACTCCTTTACTCTGTCTCCTACACCAACTACAGAAGCCAGCATGCAAGCCTTCATCCTTACTGTTCTGCAAAAGAGTTTGGCAATTTGCAAAGGTGAAAGGAGTAGCTTCAGGGCCAGCATAGCTACTTCGGATGATCTGATTAAGTCAAATCTTCCACTCAGACCCCTCAATGTATGAAGTTTTCTGCACATAGCTTCTTCCTGAAATCATAACAAGCTTTTAAGACTAAAAACTATACCAGCCCTCTCTGTCTGAATATGAAAACTAGCAGGCAGTGGAGCAGTATTAATCTGTTCTACAATGCTACTTATGAGTCCAAATCAAAGACCTAGTGCAGTTTGTCATGTTATAGACAATACAAGCAAAAGTTTTAAAACATGTACAAAGTTTTTAAACATGATATATCTTGAAGTATTTGAAAGCAGAGAGAGAAAATTTATAGGCAGACCTTCAAAAGCTGAATGCTTAGCACACTGTGGGCGAGGGGGGGGAGTATCAGGCTGTTGAGAGATACTATTCTATTTTAAAATACTGTTCTCAAAAGTAAGACAGATCCTGAATCCCAGAACAAGGCTGAAAATCAGATTAAAGAGCAGTTTTATTTGGCCATCTGATGTAATACTCAAGCCAAAATTGATTGGGCAACTTTTAATTCAGGCAGATTTAAGGAATGTGGCAGTAGTCATATTACTCGAAGAGTTGCCTAAAGCATTTATGTGCTATAAAAATACAGCTTCTTTAAAATTCGAAGGCACCTTCCTTTAAAGCCAGAGAAGAACAAGCACTGGGATACCAATAGTTCTCCAGCTCAAATATGCATTTCAGATAAATTCAGCTATGCTTTTGGTTCTAAGTATGTTTTAGTAAAGAATCTACTCAGAAGCTTTTCCTTAAATTAATGGGGTTTATCTTTCGTGTATATTTAGGGACTACAAATCAGAGAAAACAGCTAAGAACTATAACTTTGGCTGAGAATCCATGCAACACCCATTGTTGGAAAGGAAGGGGACTGCATCTTACATTCTAAGCTTGCATTGCAAAGAAACTATATCTAAGGGCACAGCTGACTCTCGTAGACATTGAAATAACTCATAGCTCTGTCCCATCTCCCCTCAACTACATATACACTCAGAAGTCTTCGACTTCTGTGTAGAAGTCTATATTCTGCCTATTATTCATGTTGAATGGCAATTCACATGCTAAGTAACTCTCAACTATTTCACCCTTATTCCGGCTTCAGTAAGATTCATAAAATTATGAAAATTTTCAGAGTCCTGAAGTATCCCAGTTATGGAACTCCTTCCCCAAGGCTTTAAATGACATACCAATTGGGTAATATGCAATACTGAACAAGTAAAAGGTTTTACGATCAAGTATCATGGCTTTCCAGTTGAAAATTTACATCATTACATACTAAAACACTTGTTCATAGGCCCATCCTGTCTCAACGATTCAGATTTCCCATAAAATTTCATACTGCACAAATAATTTAGGATATTTTGAAACACTTTAAAAATCACATTCTTTTCCTACCATATTCAAGCAGTCCAACTCAGTAACTAGGGCAGCCTGGTTTAAAGACAAAAAAACCCATCACAGTACTTAAAATATAACAGTGCCTAAAATAGCTTTTTTTAATAAGCTGTGGCCTATATAAAGTGCTCTAAAAAAATTGCCAAATTCTCAACTGGGATAGTGAGCGTATCTTGTGGTTTTTTTATTCATCCCTAATATGCTATTCTATATCCTGGTCAATAAAAAAACAAACAAACCAAACAACAACCTATACTAAATACGTAGCATTAAAAAAAAAAAAAAAAAAAAAAACAAACAACAAAAACCCAGGACAGAAATAGTGCCACCTCTCAAGGGCAAGTTCTGCTTCTTCTAACTGCACCTTCTGTATTCTCAGACATCTACTGGGAGGGAAAAAAATAAAAAAAAAATAAAAAAAAAAAAGGCTGAATGCAAGCAAAGCAAATGACAAATTTAAGAACAAAAATACTTTCCTTCAAAATCTTTTTTTTTTTATTATAATTTTAATGAGGGCTTATTTCTTGCAATGCTAATCATCTTATGTTTGTAGGAGCAATCTGCTTTCCTTGGAGCATGTTCATATTTGTCAAGACACTGAGACAAGCACCTCATTTCCTGTAATCATTGCTTTTTAAGTGCTCCTTGAAAGCATTTATCTGTGGAATGCAATAGAAATTATCTGGAGAGCTTCTTGTACTGTTTTAAAGAAAAGTTCACAGACTACACTCACTTAAAACGCAATTCTTCCTTCCACCACCCTAATCCCAGAAGACACCAAGACAAGGGCAAGACAACAGAATTATTTGCCTTCAATAACAAAATCAACCAAAGTATCTTTGAAAACATGTAGACTTCAAAGTTTTTTTTTAAAATATCAATTAACACAACTGCAAACAGAAGCAAAGGCAAGTTTTGGAAAAAAGAGCAAACTTCAAAGCTGGAACTAGCAGAGACAATTCTCTCTTCACCAGATCCAGGGAGCTGGAGAAGAGAAAAGGTTACAGCCTTTTCTCCCTTTCTCACAGAGAAAATTAATTTTTTATTTTTTTTTTTTTAGACATACACATTAGCTAGAATAAGAGATTCTAGCTAGAATAAGAAGAAAGAACATTCCCAGACAGCATCTACCTACAGTACAAACTGGAAGGCTAAGATGGGCTGAGTAAGTAGTGGTTATAGTTGCAGTGCTGCTTCTGGACCTCATCAAGTCCTTCATAATCCTGTGTATCACCCACCTACTACCAAATAAACTTATATATTCCTTCTTTACACTCTCTGCTTTCCTTCAAAAGATGTAACAAGCTTTGTATATCAGAGCTTCTTGAAAAGCTGTCTGCATTAATTTCTTATCCAAAATATAGTATTCCCTTTTTAGTCCATGTACAATTCTAATAATAAAAAAAATGGAGCATGCTTTTTTAAGTCGGCTACCTTTTCATGGGTTATTCTTCTGACAGCTTACATGCAAAGACCCAACAAACACTGAAGACTGGGAAAAAATGGGACAGGAAAGCACAGTGTTCCAGAAAGGGTGGGCAAGGATGAGAAGCAGGACAGTGGTAATTTGATCCAGGTGGACAGCCATTGACCAACAGCCTAACTTGTAAAATGGGGTTCACTCAGACATACTTGCCAGTTCAAAGGCTGGGGGGGATAACAGAGAAGCAAGGGAAGCTCTGTGTAAACCACAGGCATATCACCTGGATCTGTGGATTAACCAAGGCCTCTACTGGGCATCAACTCTGGTAAGGAGTGAGTATTAAATCAAGGTCAAAGGGAGTGACTGCACTCTCTCCCAGTACGGCAGTCTCACTCTCCCCTCACTAATAGAGTCTTCACTCTACTTCTGCAGAGTCAGCTTGGGTCTCTTTACCACATCTATGGGACTCTGGCACCTTGCTAGCCCATGTACAGCCCAGACAAGGGCAAGCTTCATGAGAGCACAGGGAACAACCACATCAGGGCTTTCCCTGAACTGCATCAGTCAGTGTGAATCTAAAAGCCATAGGATTTAACAATAAAAATGAATAATTAACTGTATATTGAGGACCAACACAAATAGGTAAATCAAATCACAGGCCAACATATGTAAAAATATAAATTCACAGCTGCTTAGTTTCTTTAGTTCATGGTTTCCCATTCCTTCCACTGTGCCAAGCTGGCACTCATGCCACAGGTCAATGTGCTAGTACAGGCATAGGACAGGATCCCAGAAGACCACTCTATACCACTTCAGCTGCCAGAAACACACACCAGGATCACAGCTAGCACTGAACACAGCCCCTGTTCCTCAGCTAACCCTTCCAGTGACTGCTATCCTGCTTATGGAGCTTACATGCTTATAAAGCCCAGTGGTGCCAGAGCAGCAGTGTCTGCATCTGCTGATCAGCATGTTTCCCACTTTCTAATTTACCCCTTGTAATTACAAGGGAACTTTGAATAGATAATAACCACCTTTTAACACAGTGGAAATTGACCACGGAAAAAGTGATCCTTTAAAAGC